AGCTGTCTCCTCCTCGCCTTGGTGGAGAGGACTTTGATTCTAAAAACCTTTACATCCTGGTGGAACTTTTACAGTTGTCTGAGCTGGTGTGGGATGACTGATCACTAGATACTTGTATTATTTGTGCGTTGTGGTAGTTCCATTGTGGATTGTAGTTAGCAGCTTCACCCATTGCAAGTAGGGTCTACCTTCCATTTATCTGCTTCTGTTCATTCAACCTTCCTCTTCTTGTCACGTCGGTTGAGGGTGCCTCTTATACGTTGTTTGATCTGAGCCTTTTGCTGGACCCATGGAACTGGCTTAGGCTGACTTTGCCTGACTTTTTCCCAGCTTGGTTGGACTTCGGTTGGGCTGAGCTGGACGGCATGGCTGGTACTAGTACTGCCTCCTTTGTGGCTCCTGACTATAGCTGGTGGGCCTCATCGGCTATATTGTATAGGGGATTGGGACTCTGTTAGTGTGGCCAAGACTAGTGTCTGCCCGATAGGGTCAGGTATAGGCTGTCCTATAGCTATCAGACGGTTGATCTGTCTGAAGGACTGAGGGGGCTAGATGGGTTCTATGGTATCTGGTGTGTAGATCTTGGGAGGAGCTGATTGGGGGAGAAAGATACCTGTCAGTACCAGTTGAGCTCATATCAGGATGAGTAGAGTCTAATTAACTGTTTCCAGCCTAGTTTAGGCTATTGGATAAAGCTGTGGAGTACTGTAAAGCTTCCTAATAGACTGGTGGGTTGATGGCCACCTGTGCAGATAGTGGATTACGACTACCTGATTGGACTTGTTTGAGTCTTGCGTGTTGGATTTTGTAGGGTTTGTTTGGTTTCTTGAGTTTGGTTGCAGTTATGGCGGGAGGGGAAAAGGTACCAAAAGTGGAAAACAGGCCCTACTGACCGTCTTGGTCTGTCACTACCATTATGTATTTCCTTTGTTTAAGTTTAGTTTAGTTTACTGATAGAAGGTATATGTCCTCCTCACAGGTATGCTCTTTGGAGGCAACTGGCAAAGTGGGTTCATAGGGTGGACAGCCTGGCATACAGGTATGAGAGGTAGATATGTTGATTACATCCTTTCTGCCTTTGTGCCACCTGCAGGGTTCAAGTTGATTGTTAGTTTTCTACTGTGGAAGAGGTTATTACAAGACAGTATTCAGACTGAGTGGTAGTATTTTTTATGTTTTTAGACGAAGAACCTGGTCAGGTTGGTCTTTTGCTCAGCTTCAGCTACACTTAGTGCTGGTTGGCTTTATACCAGAGGGCCTATGGACTTGGAACGGAAATGGTGCTAGGTTATTTGATGGTCTTGTAATTAGTTTCTGCGTGGGCATGACTTGAGGGTGGTAGGTGCGGGACCGTAGACTTAGTTAGCCTGTAGTTAGTAGTATACCAGTTAGCGGTATCCCCTGTACCAGAAGGGTCTCATCATATACTGGTGTTGGCGGTATGAGTTTAGATTGACTTCTAAGTACTTTTCCTACTTATTCCTTTAACGAATATAAAATATCTTTACACTTTTTATTATTATTACGACCTTTATTTCTACCACAACAAGAAGGCTCTACATGAGATAGAGTTAGAGAAAGCTTATGATAGGTATTATGAATAGAAGACAAAGGTCTTGTACTATCAGTAACATAGCCATAGGTCTAGAGCTATCGTATAGCAGAAGAAGAAGAAAAGTATCATTCCCCATCATCAAGAACAAACTATCCAAAGGGGAATCGTTACAGCTGTAGGAAAAATGAGAAAATGTGACCATGCTGATGCTGGGCAAGGTTTGAATAAAAGCAGGATAGTAAAAACAACTAATATTATGAGATGTTGGAGGAAGTAAGGAGAGGGCCTTAAGAGTAGAAGTTAGAGAAGTATCTCAAAGCTAAGAAAAGATGAAAAGTGATAGCCTAGTCTCCTCTTTAGGAGAGGGACCAGATATGAAAAGCCATGACAAAAGGCTTAGTATTAAGGTTTTCCCAAATAGGAAATAAATTTCAATCATTAAAGATATAGTGGAGACAGAAGATAGACATATTTAGACTTTTCTTATATTATATATACAATTATACTTCCTAATTATTCTCTTATACTATTATAGAACATTATATATTTATTGGAATTTTCTTAACGGATTTTCAGCATATTATCTTCCAGAGGCATTCAAGGGCTTGCTGTCTAGTGTTCCATAGAGGAATGAATTACGGAGATAAATCTAACAGTTTTATTAAACATTGTAACGCGTTACTACCACGATGGTGTTTAGACTAGGCGGTGTCGAGTTAACATACAGCGGCAATGCGGCACGGCCGAGTTGCCCGGAAACAGAGTGTGACTAGCAATACCTCACCCATACCCTTTCCCCATACTTTGGAAATGGAACGGGCAGAAACAACACAAACAACCTATCATACAGCAGATTAAGAACACTCTATTATACACTTGTTAGAAGACCGGGCTCTCAAGGCGGCCGTATTCGGCTCCCCACCACCCTTACTGGTAGTTATATTGTGACACTCTAAGGTACTTCTTTCTCTTTGCATAGCGAGTATGAAGTAAGGCATAAGTAGGTCAAGTATCCGGTTATCTCTAGCATGAGGTATTGTAGTGGTATTTCTAGAAACTCCTCAGACCAAACTGTATTACTGGATTACTAGTCTCTTGGGATTTTGGCTAGTCGCTTTGTGGCCCTGGTTCTTGAGTTGGAGAGTACTTTGGGTTTTCAGAGTATTAGGTAGCTGGACCTGGATGGGTTATTGGATGCTGGGGTAACCTTAGTAAAACTTCTAGCCAGAGAAGTATGATCCTAGGTGTGTAGGTATGATATTGCATTTTTCCCTCTGAGGTTTTCAAAGGGTTATTCCGATAACCACCTCCCCAGATCGTCGCGCCCGACAGTGCTCATCCCATATCATAACTCATAGGTATTGGCCAATGGGATCTCGTTTTTCTGAAAATTTCGTAACGGTGGCATGGAGTGAGTACTGTACCGGTAATAACCACTGTCTTTCTCTCGCTTTTTTTACTGCTGAGATAAGGAGAAAAACCTCAGTATAAAAATCAGCTGAGTTGGTGTGTATTGTTATTATGTACTCCTAGAGATCCTCTTTGGCTGGCGCATTTGTATACCATGGAAACTTGAATAATTGAACCGTGTGCTATGCAGTCAAAAATCTCTTCTCTGGAAACTGAGTGAAAGCACCCCCCCCTCCTCTTCCGAGATAGAAAAATATTAAGATTATCAGACCTTACTGGGAGGGAGGAAAGCCCAACAGCATAGCACACTGTTCAGTTGCTCGGGTTTCCTTGACACTCGAGTTAGTGTCTTGCTAGTGGACCGGGCATCCGCTGCTGGGGTAGTGCCGGCGCCGTAGTGAGTACGGTTCTTTGGGAATTGGGTGGAGAAGGGAGGAACCTATTTTCCCCTGCGGTAGCAGTTTATTGATTGTGTGTCTTGAGTGTGTTCAGATATTAGAATTATTATATTTGCGGAGAGGGTCGGCATCAAACATTGTTACAGAAAAGCTGCTCGGCCAAATCCAAGATCTTTTTTCCTTTTGTCCAATGAATCTTGGTGGTGTCTTCGCTAGGATCCACTTTATCGATTGGCTATAACGATAATTTACTACAATGTTGTTGTTATTATGATACTGCGGGTGGGTTTTGACCGTAATTGATAAAGAGGGGGTTAGGGATTCGGGACTTGGTGATGTGATTCCCTCTGGTTGATGTTTGGGGGAGGCAAGTTGATCATTGACCCCCCTGACAATACTTGAGTAAACACTAGCGAGGCTTTTTCTTGGCGTTCACTCGACTGACTTTTTTTTCTTCCTTTCCCGTGATATGTTTTAGAACAACCCCCACCAAAGTTGGTAAAATCTCTACCAACCACAATCCATCCGCCTCTCCTACCGGCCGGTCAATTCCAATTCATCCATAGGTGGGAGCCTCGATAATGTTCTCCACTATAACCCGATCACCTTACATTTGCGCACGGTGCCGATACCGCATCTTGTGGGGTGCCACTCCGCCGTTGCCTCGGGTCTCACTCATCACAAATTCACGGAGGAACAACTTTACCTTTCCGGCAATGGGACCCCCTGAGCCAGAACCGAAGCGCGGAGACGACTACACGGACTCCCTGGTAGATTCATTTATCGAGAATGCCTTCAGTGATACCTTCACTCCTCCTCGGCCGGCGCCTGGTATTGGAAAAACCGAGAACCTACGCAGCGTTCTCCAAGCACTCCCGGACACGTGGGAAGGCGCAGGAGTGCGGCCCGTGGTAGCTAGGGCTCTCTCAGATGCATACCCTAATACTATCAGACCCACCGACATACAGAAAAGAATCCTAGTAGGTCTTAGAGCTGGTCACTCTGTGGCTGTTCGGGATCTCCCCGGCACAGGGAAGAGTTTCGCTATCGCCGCCTGGGTTCTAGGACTCGAAAGAGCTATGGGATGGGAATCGCGCCCAACGACCACTGCCTTCATCTTTGTTCCCACCCCTGATCTGGGAAACCAATACTACCTAATGATCAAGAATTTGCTACGAGCATCGTCTTCTCAGGTTATAACCTCGTCCCTAGATTCCTTCGTACAGCTTCTGTATCGAAGAGCAGGCGAAGAAGAATCACAAAGCCAGATAAAGCTACTCTCGGAGAAACCAAATCCACACATTATCATCGCCACGCCTGCAATCGCCATGGATATCATCTCTAGCAATTCTGATTCCGTCGGCGGGTTGTTGGATTTCTCACTGGCGACTGCGTTTGTCCTTGACGAGTTTGACGCCTTAATCCCGAGAAGCCAGCCCACCCTACCTAAAAGACGGCCACCGATCCCCCCCGCCATCCGGGCCCCGGGGTTCACACCACAACTGCCATCACAGTCGGCCGCCGAAATGCTACTTGATTGGGTTTTCAAGTGGCGTAAAAAAGAGGCGTTGGTGCGAGAGATGCATCCTATTCAACCGCAATTAGTACTTTCCTCTGCTACTTTGTCAACGGCTCGGATGGCCAAATTCACCCAATCCACCCACCCCTCGTGGATAGGTTGCGAGGAGAATAGCGCCCCTACTGCAGACCTTAACCTCTACAATCAATCCAAAGCGTCCCACTTGCTTCCTATCGGTGACGAGAGTTCTGGGATCGATAAGATTGTAAGAGCGGTTGCCGACAATATTGTCCACCATGCAGTAGCTTATGACATTAGTTCCGGGCTCATGAGAGACGCTCCAATTCCTAGGACGAGGATCTGGACAACCGAAGAAATAACACAGAAGTTAGGGGAGCTGAAGGTTTATGAGACTGAGAATGCAGAATCTGTACGGAAGGCTAAGGCTCTCAAGAATGAAAGAGATTCCTTAGTTATTATGCCGCCGGAATCGTGGGACACGTCTGATTCACAAGCCAAACGTGCTGGATACCCTCCCGAAATCGCTGCAGACGCCCTTCAAAGGCTTTTAGAGCGCGACAAATGGCCAAGGAATGCAATTGCCGCCATTGGTCAGGAGGCCGGTACTAGGCTGTTTACCGCCGAATGCGCAAAGCTAGGTATCGACGCAAGGGAACTGACTGTAGCCAATTGGAACAAAGATATGGAAAAGGAGGGACGGATACCTATAGGAAGAACAGATATGCTATTCGATCCTGAGATCAGGGAATACTACAAAGAGCGAAACGAGCGAGACGCATGTCGGGATAAGACGATTGTTTGGGTTGCTACGTCGGCCTCCGCACGTGGTCTTGATGTTCCTGGGGTCTTCCATCTATACGTCTTACACCGCCTTGAGAAGGCAAGAGAGTACACTACCTATTGCGGTAGAGTAGCTAGATGGCCGTTTCCCACACTCGAAAAGGACATCAAGGACCCAAGGAGTCTCGGAATCGAGGTGCGTCGGGGCGTGGGAAAGGTAGTAAGTCTGCTATTGGAAGACAATGTAGTTCCAACCCCTGGCCTCAAAGGTTCATCCTTGGGCCACCAGGTCATTACTAATGATGGCTCGGACCACGCAAATTGGTCCTGGCTGGGGGAGGGATTGATGGTTGCAAAAATCGGCTGTCACATTCAAAGCTACTATGGGGAAACCGGGGAGTACCCATGCGGGCCGGAAGTGCGAATGCCCAAGTTCACATGGCCGCAGGCTCCTTCGCCCACCCCGAGCCGCGCTTTAAATCTCTTAGATGTTGCGCTTGGGTCTGACCCCTCGCAAAAGTCACCATTCTCTAACCCCGCGAGAGGATCGCCACCTGACCAGATCCCCAGAGATCTCTCCGAGCCACCCCCAGAGCAAACAAAGCGAGTGTCAGAAAATTCCCAACTCGAACCCTCGACCGACCTGCCAGACATGTGGGGCCTTCCCTTCCCTGATGGCTCTGGCGAACCTGAAGAGCTGCAACAGCGAAACAGAAACCCCGACGACGGCGATGGCGTCAGCTTCCGGTCAGCCCCGAAAGTTCCCGCACCTGCATCACAGACCCCAGACTTACTTTTTTTTTAGATCTCCAGAAGAAGATTTCGGAGCGGACTGGTGCTCTCGCCGTGCACGGGAAACGGAAGCAAGCAGATTATCCACCAGGGCCAAAAACGCAGACGATAGATACCGGGAACCTCTAACAAAGTCTCGACGAGGCCCCGGCAAATCTAAAGCACCAAAAGTCTCAGCATTCAACATGCATGTTGGCAAAGACGTGAACCCCAATTACATATCTCCACGAGAACAATTCCGACCGGACCTGAAGAGTGAGAGTGAGCGGAAAGAGGAAGCAAAAATGTTATCGCTCACAGCCATAGACGCAGTGGAAGGGTACCAGGAGCCCCCGGGGACACTCAAAGTAAGGATGCATGGGTTCTACCCCGATCGAACTAAGCACCCGAAGAAGCCGAAACGGAATTCGAGCTTTAGCGTAACATGTGTGCCGTTCAGGGGGGAGGGTGAGGAAAAGGCTGAAGGGGCAAGGAAGAAAAGGGCGCCAAAGGCGGAGGAAAAGGCCAAGAAAAAGAGGGCGCCAAAAGTGCAAGAAGAGACAGCGGAGGCGGATACAAAGTCGGGGAAAACTAGAAAGTCAAAAAGGGCGTCGAAACAGCCGAGAGGTCTGGCAGCGGAAGCGATAGACGATCTCAAGAACGCACTTGAGAATGAAATTGTGGGGCAAACGCAGGACACCAAATTCAATGATACCATGGACAAAGGCGCTTAGTTTACATCTGTACATTGGAGCAAAGGGCGAGGCAGGGTAGATTCCTCTTTTCTTCGCTCCTTTCCCCTTTCCCTTCTACTACATACTTCCTTTTCTTTTCTGTCCTTTTCATTCCATTTCTATTTCTTGCTTCCTCCCCCCTCTCCTCCTCACTCTCCATATGCCCTTTCTTCATTTTGTTCCAAACTTCCGAAAGGCTATTTGTAGAATTGCGTAAAAATGTTCATGCATCATGGTAGGTGGTGGGTTTTGTACATTATATAGCCGATTGATGGGGTGGGGGTAGTTGGCGATGACGAGCGGACGAAGAAGAGATATCTCTTGGGTGTTGTTATGCGAAAAATGTACTGTTGCATTTTAAAGAGTGTGGAGTTATTGAGGTTTAAAGTTTGCATAGCAACCAAGTGAATCTTGAGAAAAACAAGAAAAACAATTAAATCTCTAAATTTTATAATAACAGTACAACTAATGGTTGAATTTCACTTAAACTAAGTTTAAAAAACTTAGAATTTATGGTAATACAGACCTATAATAAAAAAAATAAGGAATATTGTAATTAAAAATTATCATTAAAAATTACATCTTTGTAGACAAGTAATACACTTAGTATCTCTCTAGTTGACAAGTCTCAATTGCCTTTCCTCTTCTTATTTGTAGAGCCTGGAGGGCGTCCCCAACCACGTCACTTTATTGATCCAGTATCTGATATTGTAGTCTTTAGACTACTTGTGCCATGCTTATGATCTGTGTCCTGGTATATCTCCTGTTCTCCAATAGCTTCCTGTACAACTGATCATTGATTGGTGAATAATTTCTCTAATTACATAGTATAAGGTACAGTCCTGGGAATGTAAACTTACTAGTACTGCTTTCTCTATTGTTTCCACTACCCAGTGTTGTATCAGCTTGCTGAGTTTTAGACTTCTTTGCACATTGTCTACATAAGATTTTCTTTTCCCTAACAGTGGAGATTAGTATTGCTGTTAGCTTTGAATAAAGCCACTGAAATTGGTATTCAGAAGGAACATATTTTGAGTACTTATGCTAGAGATCATGTCGCTTCTCCTCATTTAAACCTATATCGGGAATAACTTGTGGTGAAATGGTTAGAAAAGAGTTCAGAGAGAAGTCCTTTTTACAAAGGTCAAATCTGACCCATGGTTGATCCGGTAGTTTACGTGCTTCAACTACCCCTGGAGCTGCCTTAGTGAATCAGAAAAATTAGAAGCTCTGTATACCCTTCAAGGGTTTGAGATATTAAGATAAAGCCTGATCCCAATTGTGAATCATGCTTGCTGGCGTATTACCAAAAAGTCTTACTACCTTAATCTTCCCAGCCTTATCTGCAGAGTCAACTAGTGAGGCAGTATGCTCAGGAATCCATACCTCCATTCTATTGGCCTTTTGCTTTACAGTTCCAAATCCTCTGTCAACACTATTACATGTATGGCCCTTGATTTGAAATCCAAGTATAATAGAGTTAAGATCATAGCTTAAAACTAACCAGTAAAGATACCAGAGCATGGTTTTGTTCTTGTTTTGCCCTCCACAGTTATCTGCCCATAGCCGTATCTCAGACTTCTCATTCTGAATCAATGTTAAAAACAGATGCAATAGTGATACAACTTGATTATCCCCTTTTCCTTGCTGTTCCTCTGTATGCATTGTATGATAATATTATTCAGTGCCTTCATTGACAATGTCTAAGACATATAACTTAAAAGGTGACCAATAGTACCACTCAGATGGCTGTTGAGGAATACTTAGAATTTCTACTACCTGCTGAAAGTCAAAGGAATAACAACTAACCTGGGCTTGATATTCCTTTTTTCCATCTTGATATCATTTTCATACTCACTTCTACAAGCCCTATACTCTTGACAATGTATTTCCAACTGCTTTAAGTAATGGGCTTCATTGACTTGCATACTATCACTCCCCTCAGACTGTACTTCCCCATCAAATATCTCCTCTAGGCAAATACTTAACTTGAGCTTAGAATTAGTTTTAAGTATTGCACATTCATTACAGGTATTTTTAGAGGACTTGCAGATCTTCATAAAGCAGGAAACCTCATGGGTTTTCCAATACCTGTAAAAGTACTCATATGAAGGAATCCGCTGCAGATTTTGATGCTTAATCTCTTTAACATACCGATCATACAGTACTTGATATGACAGATATGAGGGGAGTAATGTGGTATATTCTACCTCCATATACTTTACAATCTTACCATTTTTCAAACATCTTTTAAATACACAGGTTGCAATAGACTCACCTTTGTCTGTCTTGATTCTCATTAGATATTCTTCTAAACCCAGTACTACAGCCTCTGCCATATGATTGTATGATCTTTTCCCATGATTACCATGGACTTTTAGTACTGGTATGCTAAGAGTGTTGGGCCTAGTTTTGAACTAAACTTA